TACATTTGAGAATGTACGTACAGAATGATGTGTCAGGTGCGCGATAGAGTAATCCGTGCAGCAGCAGCACGGATCCTAATGCCTGTCTGATAAGGTGTTTTATTTATTTAGGGGGTTTATTTACTTGTAATAAAATGAAAGTAAAATACACTTAATAACATTGTGTTTCTGATTAAATAAAGCAGTGATTGATTCTGTTAATTTATCATTTTTCATTACATCTTTATGTGAAATGTTTTGCTTAAAGTGTGCTATCTTTCTTTGAAAGAAATGCCACTGGCTTTGACATTTTGTTATCTAATGGAGTGACATTCATACATTTTTAAGTGTGTTTTAACTTTCCAAAAACTTTCTGGGGACATTTTATTTGCTCTTGCTCATTTTGCCCTTCACACAACCTCACACACAAACACAGGTACAGTAGATTATTACAGCACATCTGATACCTCGGCCCTTTGCCTGATTAGATCCCTGTGGAATACTGCCTCGCACCAAACAGGAAACCAATGACATCACAAATATCCTGTCTTTTTGGAACACAGCCCAGTGACTTCATATTTCTCACACTGCACTGTTCAAAAACCTTCTGTTTGTTAGAGCTAAAGATGGGTTGTATTACATGAATCAATGCAAAAGCTCTTTCAGCTTTGGTGTTGTGCTATAACACTAGTTGTAGCATTGCTCGTGCTCCTAGGCCCTAGAAAGGTCTATGATGGACTTGTATATATTCTCCGAGCTCGTAATCCTCTTAGATAAATAGAAGAGAATTTTTTGCTTGTGAGGTTGTGATTTCCATAGAGGCAGATTCTTTCCACAGAAGCCCATTATTAAGACGTTTATGTTGTGGAAAAGGCAAAAGGATGGTTTCCTGTATTCTGTGAGCCATAAGCTGCAGCACCTGTAACATGTAATTACATTGTGCGCTCATGACAAAAGAAGAATTGCATCGTTGTTGCGCTTTTTACTGAGTGGAATGAAGCCATTTTGTTACATGTGTTTGCTTAAAGATAGCATAGGCTAGCTCAGTGTTTTTCAGCTGAGAAGAGAATCAAAATTTTTGTTTTTTTTCAGTGCAGTCACATCCAGATGCAAGCTCATCCAAAAACACATGGGGTAATAGGATCTCTTGGAGCCCGGCCTGCAGGACAGGACTGTTTTACATTCAGCTCAGAGTCTGTTTTGAAGGAATTTCAGAAGGGTGGATCCACAATTCCTGTCTATGATGATTATATCAAGAACAAGTCTGTCATAGAGCTGGATAATACATTGCATAATGGCCATGATTTTGCTGGTGTATTATAAAATTAAGTAGCATTGTAAATATTTAGATTTTAATGCACTTCAATTTCCTAAATTTTGTGTCATTAGGAGAGTTTTTCTGGATTCTTTGATGGGGGGGAAAAAGTTAAAAAGAACAGCATTTATTCAAAATAGAAATCTTTTGTAACAATATACACTACCGTTCAAAAGTTTGGGGTCAGCACTTTTTTTTGTTGTTGTTGAAAGAGATGAATACTTTTATTCAGCAAGTATGTGTTAAATTGATAAAATGTGATAGTAAAGACTTTTTTTGTTACAAAAAAATTATATTTTGAATAAATGCTGTTCTTTTTTAACTTTTTATTTATCAAAGAATCCTGAAAAAAGTATCACAGGTTCCAAAAAATATTAAACAGTGCAACTGTTTCCAACATTGATAATAAATCAGCATGTTAGAATGATTTCTGAAGGATAATTTCATACTGAAGACTGGAGTAATGATGATGAAAATTCAGCTTTGCCATCACAGGAATAAATTATATTTTAAAGTATATTAAAATAGAAAAAAGTTATTTTAAATTGTAATATTATTTCACAATATTGCTGTTGTTACTGTGTTTTTGATCAAATAAATGCAGCCTTGATGAGCATAAGAGACTTTAAAAAAAAAAAACATTAAAATTTTTTTTCATTTACTTCTTTTTGTGCATTTAAAACTAATTATTTAGCGCATCTGAAACCCTGCCCAATTTCTGCTAATGAAAATAAGGCATGTGGCTGCCTCCAGTAATTTGTGTTGTCGCCTGTGCAGATGTTTTGATTGCTGTGTTTTTTAACTCAATTAGATAAACATTATTTAGACCCGCAGTGTTCGCCTGTCTCTCCTGTCGATCTGCAGAGTGGTTTTCCTATGTTGATTTTAGCCGCTTCATGTCATTTTTGTCTATGTCGGATGATTGTTGTCTTTGGAGGTGTGTGATGTTATTCAGTTTTTTCAGAGGAGTCTAATGTCATATAAATCTGTCAGCAGAAACATGGAAGTACATACCACTCTTTCTGCAGATCAAATTGCTCGTGGAGAACAACTAAAAGTACCTCTAACACATCATAAGTTTATTGTAGCGGGGTGAATTATGCACCAAAGTTAATTTCTTCTTATTAGGTGTTTGTTCAGATAATCAACTGTGGGCAAAAGCTATAATAATAGTGATTGCTATAGAAAACGCCACTAATTAGTAAAATATTATCTTCCATGCAAATCTTGATTTTGTTTGTACATCTGTTCCATTTTTTCAGAAAATATGAGATGGCAGTGTATGCAACAAGTCTGACAGCTGCTCTTTGTTTCGTACGATATGTTTTCGGTTGGCAGCTGGCAAGTATGCGAGAAATGTAGCCAACGTCACACCCCCAGCAGATTAAACAGTCGCACACCTGGAGGATAACTGTCCGGTAGCCGCCTGTCATTCCCGTTGCCCTCGTTTTCACTCTCTTCACGGCGGAGTCGTCTGCACTTGTGTTTTTTCTTGATTTTAATGGTTACAGACTTAGGCAGCGGTGTCAAAATTTATGAGGGACTCGTCCCTCAGGGAAGGACAAGGAGAGAATAAGACGGCAAGAGAGAAGGTGTGTGTGTGCGAAGCAAAGAATAAGTAAGCGAGATAAGGACAGGCAACGCTATGAATCTCCTGAGCAGAAACCTCCACATAAGGCAGTTTGATTGGCGGCAAGTGGGTGTGAGGAAATGAATCATCCAGTCTCTGTTTAAAAAAAAAATAATTCTTTTCGGCTTTTCTTCATCCTCCTCCTCATCAAGCCTTTAGCCTCCCAGCCATTTTTATTGGGCCGTTAAAGAGGTCATTTGGGAAAATAGCCTTCACTGTCACTTTTTCCTGTCCTTCCAAGGATCTAAACCGTAGATGTTCACTAGATCACAGCAGTGTAGCACATACAGTGTGCTGGAACATAATTATATTGGCATCAAGAGTGAGGAGGATGAGATTAGCTTTGTTCCGAAACATATTGAGCTACCTACCTAGACCATATTTTTAGGCATCATCTTCTGAAGGCCGCCCCAAAAGGTAGGCAGTACGATGTTGACTTTTAAGATACCACGTTTTGGCCTTCTTATTATTCAAAGATGAGACTGAATGTATCCTTCGTTGAGAATGCAGTCCCAGAATGAAAATTAGTACTTTTATTCAACAAACGTTAAATTGACCAAAGTTGCGAAAAGTTTTAGTTTTTTGTTTTTTCAAATAAATGCTGTTAATTTCAACTTCTATTCATCAAAAAAATCCTGAAAAAAATTAATCACGGTTTCCACAAAAATATTAATAATAATTTCTGGAGCCACCAAATCAGCATATTAAAATCATTTCTGAAGGATTATGTGACACTGAAGACTGGAGTAATGATGCTGAAAATTCAGCTTTGTCATCAAAGGAATAAATTTCATTTTAAAATATATTTATTGACCAAGGATGGCGGCACGTTCACACGCTGCGGCTTCTCTCTCTCCCGACAGAAAGGTGTTTTCGTGCTTTTTGTCTTGTGAGTCGCAGTGTTTTTGTACGTATTCGTCGCGTCTATCTGTCTCTAAGCGCGCATACAGTCGTGAGTTTCTGCTCGATGTCGGCAGAACCACATTTTTAGAGTTAAACCCAAGGGTCTGAGAGTAACGCAATTTCAATTCTCTGTGTGTATGTGCTGTACATGTGGAAGAATTGACAATAAAACAGACTTGACTTGACTTGACTATTCAAATAGAAAAAGTTATTTTAAATTGTAATAATATTTCACAATATGGCTTCTGTATTTTTATTTCAATAAAAGTAATTTAAAGTAATTCATTATAATAATTGAAATTGTCATTTTCTGTTATGTTTGTGTGTGATAGATGGATGCTTTTATTTTATTAAGTACCAAAAATATCAGTAAAAAAATCTATATAATTAAAATGGCATGTTTTGCGGTATTTTAAAAATTCATATCATAGCAAAAATAAACACCGGTATTCGGTATGAACCGGTATACCGCCCAGCACTAGCATGTTTTACATTATGTGTGGTTGTGCTGTATATTTTAATATAGTAGTTTTAGTAGTTATAGTAGTTTTGCGTTGTTAGCTTAGCAACATACTAACATTAAATAAACTCCGTTGGAATCATTTGTTTGTTCTGCTCACAAGAAGCGCTATTTGTGTGTTTTTCGGCATTTAAAGTCTGAAATAAGTTTTCATTTCATTTATTATTCTACCTTAAAAGGCAGCTGCCTATGTAGGCAGTAGACAGCAAGGCGGCTCGCTAGGTTTTGTAACAGAACTATTGATTCATTGTAGCTCTCTCATGTAGTTATTCTGTCACTTGTGAGTCTCCACCACTCTCTCATTATGCACCAGATCTTTTCTTAATTTCCGTGCAAATGTGACAGCCCAGTCGCCTAATGCTTTGTGACAAGTCACAAAACCTTGTTACATTAATCATTGCAGGATTTGTTCTCCGTCACCCACACCGTCCGGATGGTTTCCTCGAAGATCTGCCCAAAAACACCTTACCTAACCATTTTCTGAAAAAACATGAAATGTTTTCTAAACCAAAAATGGATTTCCTGAATAAAAGAGGAGGTGTGGTGTCAGTTTAGTATTATAATCTGCTTAAGCAAAGAGGCGATTGTGATTTATTAGTTTTTTATGTTTATAAGATTATTTGCAAATTTGTGACGGTCCCTTTCTCTTGCAGGCGACATCACTCAGAAAGGATATGAGAAGAAGAGGTCAAAACTGCTCGGGGCGTATCTGCCCCACCCTCCAGGTAAGAGCCCCAACTCTCAGCTCTCATTTAGGGGGTCACAGAGTGCGTTTGTACCCACAGGTTTAAACAGCTGACTGAACCAGCTTTTCTGCAGCAGATGGGTTTGCCTTCCCTTCTTCTCTCATTTAAACAGATCCTAAAAACATGCGATGGGAATCTGTTTCCTGTGGGCTAATATTCTAGACATTAAGATCTCAACAGATGGATTTCACAGTCGCTCTGTCATACTTAAGCAAGCAGTGACTTTTATAGGGCATCCTAGGCTGCATTACTATGCGGATGGTAAGGTTGCACACTTATATATCCACCGTTATGCAGGCATATGGGGTTTAACTGCCCATTTTATTATTTGACCGGATATCTGATTTAGAAACATTCAAAAGATGTATAAAATTTTTATTTTATATACATCATATACGTGGAAGAAGATACAATATTTGCCAGATAAAGGTTAACAAATTAGAGTTGGTTGACAGTCTAAATGCAGCCTTAAAATCTGAAGCTCCAACAGCTCTATTTTGTCTTTTTACTCCTATGAAAATCTTATTTGGAAAGCAAGGCCATCCACAACCCGGTCCGGCTCCAGACTTAATCAGTCTGTTTGCCCGCTTTTTCTTCAGTGCTGCTTTAATATGTGCTGATAAGTGACTGTAGGCGCCAGAATTAAGAGGCTCCTCTAAGCTTCATAAAAGGTGCTTAGAACTTTTTTCTCTCATTTCACTGAACTGAAACAACCCCTTCTTATGAATATAAGTGGGAAGAAAATCTAATGTTCAGTGTTGCTTTTCAATAAGGGATACCACAGTTGATCACTCGTTTAAGTGCACTTAAAGTAAATACTTTGCATTTAGACTATCGATAAAATGCAGAGAGTCACTGCTGATCAAGCGTCTCCAGCTTTAGATGGCATTAGTCTTTAAAAGCACGCCGGCATTATTGAAATGAAGTGCTCGGTAGAGTAATTGCTTGGTGTCAAAGAACATTTTAAGAAATGCTTTTTTCAAGATGAGGTGATTTCTTTTCTTTTACAGTTATCCCAGACAGGTATTCACAATATATTTAGACAAGTTTAGTAGTGTGTAAAACAAGCCTTGTTACTGATTTTTTTGTTTTTGTATTTTATATTTTAAAGTGACCTTTTTGAAGGCAAATTGAAAGCAAACGCATAAATATCAAGTTATATATCTTCAAATGGTTGAAAAAATATTAAGATGTCATATTTTTAGCTATATCACCCAGCCCTACCAATAAAGGTAGTACTGTTTTTATAGTTTGGTAAGAATTTATGTAACTTTTGAAGGTCTCTTGATTTGTGCTCGCCGTGTCTGGCTGAATTGTTGATTAGCACAGCTTCTGTTGCCATAGCAACAGGCAGCCCGCATGTTCCTAGTCTGGCTCCCGGTGAAAAAAAAAAATGACATCATGTTCGGGCACAAAGCATGTATCGTAGACTGTGGCGTGAAGAGCAGCATGCGCCAGACTCAACGCGACGACTCCATTCCTGCGGGAACTGGTGTTTTTTAACAGTCCCGTAAAGGCATGAACTTGCGTTTAACCATATCTTCGTTTACATACTGGAGCAAGGGAACGTGGCACAGTGACACCTCCCTCAATGTCTGCTTGATTTTGTTTGTATGTGTCTCCTAGTTTTTAAGAGCATCAGGTTACCAGCACAGAGGAGAGATTGTCTCCGTCGCTGCCTTTGACTGAATGACAGCCGTACTTAGATTGTTAACCCTCGGCTTTTTAGTAGGAGGAAGACTGTGTGTTCATTGTACTTGAGTCAGAAAAGCACCATCACATCCTCCGCTGCATGAGCTGGTGCATGATTCTGACTTAACCTGCTGTCTCACCTTCTGCCTTATTGAATAAATAAGTCCACCCACTGATGTCTTTGGCTATGTCAGCACAGGGCCAAAGTTGATTTCTTCGGCCTGCATGCATAGCTCTTGGCTGGAACGCCGAACGCAACCTGGGCCATCTTACGTGTCCTAAAATCTGCCAGGAGGAGCAGAGTAGTTCTAAGCTCTCTGCTCCGAATCCAAGACAACAAAGAACAACAGAACAGAACAGAACAGAGCTGGCTCATCACAAGAGCCGTTGATATGAGTCATAGCCGACCAATCGCTGCTGTGTGTGCCTGGAATTAAATATTTTATCTATTCTTAATTAGGGCTGCACTGGCATAGACATTTTGGCAGATATGGATCATCTATATATGGCCACATGGAATCTGCAGCCACAAAACTCACAGAAAGCTCCACAGATTTCCACAGAATTTGAAAATGTTATTCATAAAATCAGAAAATTCTCTGCTCTGCAGAGTTTTCTTCAAAATTTGTTAAGAAATGTATATAGGTCTGCCAATGTTTACATTATTTTGTATTTTTGCATTGCTTTTATTTCATTTTATTTTACACTTTCACACAAGTGAAATCAAGCGTCAAAACATAATGTATAGTAGAAAGGTTAACTTAACTATTTTGCACTTTGGTTGCCATTGAAAAAGAATATACCGTTTAAATTGGATAAAATAAGATATTATCCTTCAATAACTGGATAGTTAATATGTTTGTCAGTGTTTGTAAATTATTGTTTTTTGGATTGCGTTTGTTTTGTTTTGCTTGTTTGTATAGTTTTGTATGTCTTTTTTTTATTTTTTGTATTATTATTTTATTTTTTTATTTTTTTGCATTGCTTGTGCTTTGCTTGTGTTTTGTTTTCTTTGGAATTTTGCACATCTCCAAGCAAAATCTATCATAAAACATTATAATGTAGAAACATTAAATAACTGTTTAGCATGTTCAGATATTGTCATTAAAAAAAAAAAAGATTCTCTTTCCAATAATTAATAAAACCAATATTATTGGTTAGAAATAATATATTGTGCAACTCAATTACTGCTGTATCAAAAACCAACAAACATTTAGGTCTGAAGGGGTGAGAGATCCAAAAAAAGAAGATGACAATATGTTAGAAAGAAAAGCTGCACAGAACTTAGAATGAGACAAGAAAGTAGGTTGCCAATGAGAAATTGAAAGAAGGAAACGCTAATTAAAATGAGAACAAATTAGGGTATGTCTTAGCCCATCTGTGAGGGGGAGTGTTACAGGAAGAGATCAATGAAGTGGATATGTAATAAATAAATCCCTGGCTGAGACATGTAATTGTCCCTCTCTTGCTCTCTTTGTGTCCTTTAGGGCTGGAGGCGTCCATGGCACACGAGCGCAGACCGCCTATGGCGCCCTCTGCTTCACGATACCACCGTAGACGCTCCTCCGGCACCCGTGATGAACGTTACCGATCAGGTGAGTCAGCGGCAGGACTGCAGCAGGGAGTTTATTCCTGCAGTGCAATGACAGATCCCTCATGATTGTTACACTGGACTGATGGGAAATATAGCTGCCCAGAATTCCTGTACCACAATAATAGTTCTGCAGCAAGTAAACAAGAGAAAAAGGTAACAAAACTGATAAAGGGGATTCATTCTGTAATATTTATCTCCACTGTGAGTTTTCTGGGCTCATAATATCAATTTCTTTAAATACCCTTAAAACAAAATCCAGATAATTTAGCTATTTATACCATATATTACTGCAAAACTGAATGTTTTATGAATTTAACAATTGTTGACACAAAAATAGGTATGTCAAGGAAAAAAAAGAAATAAATAATATATTTTTTCTTTAATACTAAAATAAAGAAAACAAACACTTTTTTAATGGTAATGGAATAAATTCATGACATTTTAACAGGCTCAATGTCAAAAAATGTGTCGTAAATGTAAAAATGTATATATAAATATATGTGTGTGTGTATACACAACAACATATAGCATATAAAATGTATTTAAATAATTTAAAACAGAGTGTGTGTTTGGGTGGCAGATTATGGATTGTTTATCCCTGAATATGTCTCTGGACTCCTCCCTCTGGGCAAATACATACAAATATTGATATATGATATGTGTGTGAGAGAGATTTATCTGCTATGAGCTGTACACATTAAAATTGTATCTGTCTTTGTCCTGTCTCTGGATGTCCTTTAGACAGCCACACATTCAAAATAAAGAGATGAGAGATTAAAAAATAGGGTTCAGTAGTCATGTGATATGTCAAAAATATCTTATCGATAATCGCCTTTAAAAATATTGCGATATCCGATAATATCGTCTACCTAAGCCCCGCCCCCACCAAAACAACATTGCTGACATGCACCATAAACACACACCATGTTCAGTTTGGTCTTAATTATTGCCACAAAGTTTGGTTTTACTTTTCTTAGTTTGTGCTTAAACTAACAGAAAACATTAGCTTTGCTGTTATTTTGGTGTTGCTAATAATTTCCACTCTGTTCTTATCAAATTTGTGTTTGAAATGAATTTCGTTTTGTGAGGAGAACTGTTGAGGAAAAATAATAGAACCCAATTTTAAGTTCACCATGGTGAAGTTGGACATTCTGGTGGTGATTGTAAGAATGATAAATGCATGTTGATGTCATATAATAATGTCTTTAATAAAATA